TATCGTGATTTTTTTTTTTAGCTCCTAGTGGGTTTAACACTGTCTGCTATAATTATTTCAATGTTCTACCTCTCTGTAAAAACTTTCAAGTATCCTTTTGGCAGTTCTTCCTTAGTTCATAGTTATTGCCTTGTTCTGCCTATTGATGTGGGGTTAAGAAGCCTTCAATTGTTTTGTATTTTTTCTGAGCTTACTTTTTTTTTTTTTAACGAGTCTTTCGGTACGTTCTCATAGCTCAAATCTTCTATCTTCCTGTATCTTCCTAAAATAATTCTTTTATTGCAGTTTCAAAATTTTTCCATTTTGTTCTTTATAAAATGTCAACTGCATTTTAATTTGATTGAATTATCTTGAAATTTATATTTTAATTATTATTTTTAAAGAACCCTACATTAAGCAGATTTAGTCCTAGTCTAAGTGTGCCCAAATTGCACTGCAATTTGGGCACACTTTTCATGCTTAATGTTTTGAAAAAATACTTTCAATTTTTATATTTTGATAAACAGCATAATGGTAAATCGTTTGACTTTCTCCAGCTTTCTTACGTGTTTAAGAAGATTCAGGGTTTTATGTTAGTGCTGCATATAGTACAGTACTTTAACGAGATGTATATTTTCCTAAAAGAATACTTTGTTGACATGCTTCAAAGATGTTTGTGTATCTGCTGCAGAGTATAGGAAGTAGAACTAAGGCTGAAAATAATATAGGGCTGATAATATAGAACAGAGAACAATATTGATTATAAAAGGTAAGAGCAAAAAAAAAAAAAAAGAATTAAGAGTGAGTACAGTAGAACCTCGGTGTTCGTCATTAATTCATTCCAGAAAGTCTGACGAAAACCGAATTTGATGAAAACTGAAGCAATATTTCCCTTAAGAAATAATGTAAATCCAATTAATCTGTTCCAGACACCCAAAAGCATTAACAAAAAATACATTTTACAGAGAATAACTATTTTTACATACAGAAAACAATGAGAAATAAATATAAAGGATTAATGAAATGGATAAATGAACATTTAATATCACTTTTACATTTATTGAAGACTTGTTAGCATATGGAAGATGCGAGGAGGGGAGAGGGAGAAGAGGTAACTGGTTGGAAGGGAATCCCCCCTCCATAAGGACTTCAGGTATCAAGTCTCTATCCGGGGTTACTTCTCTTCTTTGTCTTTTACTGGCACTGGACCCCTGCCGCACAAAAAATCTGTTCAGAAAAGTATATTTCTGGTGTCTCTAAGATTTGCCTAAAATGGGACAAGGCACTGTCATTGAACATGTTGCAGACAACTTGCAACAGCTTCGTTAGGGTGATATTTCTCCACAAGACTTTGCTACGAGATCTTTCTTGAATTTCATCGTGTTTCTTGCCTTCTTTATCAAAGGGCGGCACTCATAACTTTCTTTGGCCGGTGACTTATTTAGCAGTCACACTCAATAAACAAGCACAAAAAACAATGGATTATTATGAAATGTTTTGGATGAACGCGCAGGGTAACACTCACTCGAGAAACAAAGCCAGACTGACTCAGAATGAGTTGGATAATTTGTGTGGGCGTGGGCAGGTGGATACGTTTGGTATGGCGGACTGACGAAAACCAAGGTGATGAATGAAAACTGGGGCAAAATTTTGATGAAGAAAATTTTCGAAAACTGAATTCGACAAAACCCAGGGCAAACGAAAACCGAGGTTCCACTGTATATAGTTAAAATATATTATTGGATTTTCATGTGATTTGAAAGAAGATATCTGTATTATGTATAATGTATATAGTTTTGTAAACTATAATTTGAGACAAATAATGTTTAGCATACATGGGCCTAATGACACCTCTGTACTTTTGAGGTAGAAACTGTGGCTGGACTTGAGGCTCCTATCCATCTGTGTAGCATTCCCCTCTTCTCTGTGTACTGGTCCTGGTCCTCTTAGCCTCTCCTGTGTGTGTTTACATGTATGGATATACATGTACTTATATTTCAACGTACACACGCACACACCTATGTCTGGTGGCATCATTTGTCATATACTGTACAGCTATCCTATACTATAGTCAATTTTTTTTTAGCTTTTTTTTGCAAATTTAAATGGAAAGGCGCATTCAAAATTGAATAGCACATATGAATGCACCTTTCACATGGTGCTTAATTTTGGATGCACTTTTTCTATTGGAAGCCATCCATAGAACAGGTGGGGTTTGAACCATGGCCTGTAGTTTTAGGACTCGCTTGCCATGGGTTCAAATTCCATCCGTTCCGTGGTTTGTTTGCAGTCATGTTACAGCCTCTCCTCACTTAACAATGGAGTTGTGTTCCTAAGACCGCGTTGGTAAATCAATTCATTGTTAAGCAAAAAGCAAACCATAATGGTAGTGGGTTTGTGTCAACCATCTTTGAAACTTGTTTTAATGTCACCTTTGCACCATTTATAACATTTTTAGTATATTTTTAAATGTTTATACAGTAGTGTACTGATATTGTAATCAACAGAATAGAGGAAATCAGTTCTAATACAGTGGACCCCCGCATAACGATCACCTCCAAATGCGACCAATTATGTAAGTGTATTTATGTAAGTGCGTTTGTACGTGTATGTTTGGGGGTCTGAAATGGACTAATCTACTTCACAATATTCCTTATGGGAACAAATTCGGTCAGTACTGGCACCTGAACATACTTCTGGAGTGAAAAAATATCGTTAACCGGGGGTCCACTGTATAAGTTATTTAGGCATGCATACTGGTCAGAGAGCCCGTCAAAAGTCCGAGTTGTCGGTAAATGAGTACATTGCTAAGTGAGGAGAGGCTGTATTACAATTTCACGAGTCATTTTTCTACTGTATTTACATAAAGCTCCACTATATAGAGGAGCTTTATAAGACTGCTGACTGTACTTCATAATAATGTGAACTAAATTCATGCATGTGCACTTTCTCTCGTTTGCCGAATGGCTTGTTAATGCATGGCATGCTTCTGTGTATTAGGTTATATGAGATAAGGCAGTTAGGAGGTAAAATAAAATAAAAAAAAATGGGGTTGGAGAGAGTGCGAAAAGGATTTATTGCTGATAATGTACTAACGATAATAATTCACTTTACATTTGGCAACTCAAAAAGTAGCCCTGCTTTGATCATGTTAATAATTTCTTAAAATATTCATCCTGTTTTTACCCCTTAATCTAGGAAGTTACCTGTTAGCGTCTAATCTTTTAATGTAACCATTGAATATATTTCCAAGATTTTTTTTTTTTTATTTTTTTTTTACATACACGATTGAAAAGATACAAGATGTTAAGAAATGTAAGACCATTTTTGGTTCTACTTTTAAAAAAACTGTTGTTGGAATCCATACAACTGTGTGGTTTCCTAATTCCTTTGACTGATGAGGAAAGGCACTATGTTGCAGGGACACGTTTTGTACAGGATTGGATGAAACATTGTAATAAAAAAGTTTCTCTGCAACTTTGTTTTTCTCTCTCTTACCACTTGTTAGCTTATGCCATTTTTCAACCAAGGAATTTAGAGATAATTTACTGTATTTGACTGAACATTAATAAGCTGAAGTCTCTAAATTTGCTAATTTTAGAGTTATTTTTAAGAAATATTTATCATGGTTTCTTCTGTTGAGATTTCACTGTCATCTAAGCTAATTTAGATTTTCTATTAAAAGTCTAAATTATTAAATTAATTTGAAACTTAGTGAGGAGTATTAGATGACAACAATATTCATTACATGCTCCTGGTTTCCATATCTGCACTATTTACCATGATCAACTATTAGTTCTTAACATTTCTTGTAATATAAGGAAATTTTTCCTTGCCTCTCATACTTCACTAAAACTAGAGTTTTATGATCTACATGGTATCCAGCCGCACATTTCAGGTCTCATCTCAAGCCCATCACATAATATATTTCCACTCTTACAGCATTATTTTAATACTTTCAAGAAAATTCAAATTATCTTTTTCACTCCTTGCACCTAGTTGTTCTGCTTGTTGCTTGAAACCCACTTTAACATGCTTGTTGAATTTTTGCTATTTCCATCGTTTATTGCACTTCTTTTTGATGGTGCTCCATGCTCGTGTGAACACGTATATATTGTACATGAAGGTGTACATTATATACCATTTCTAAGAGTTTATGTTAATCCCTATCACTGGGAATAAAATAGTATTCTCACTTGGTAGTGTACAGATGAAATGCAGCCTTAATGACCTATTTGCAATCAGTAGGCTTTAAACTCAATAAAATGATCACTTCGTGTTTGTGTTTTATCTTAAGGCTCATAGTGCATTATGTTGCCTCCAAAAATGAGCTCTTGCATTTTAAGCAAGAACTTTACAAACACTTTAGAGCATACTGAATTGCATCCTCTTTATACACTGCATTTCTGTGCATATTTTTGCATCATGGTGACAAAAAAAGCAAACCTTTGATAATGTACATAATAGTTTTATTGTTGATTAAATCATCTTTGTGCAGACTTTATGCCTCAGTCACAGAGTATTATATCTCAATAATCTCTTATTGTCATCTCGTACGCTTGTTTCTATTTCACTATATTTACGTATATATAAATAATAACCATCAAGAAGAATTTTTACTTCATGTCATAACTGCTTAAGCAATAATTTTGATTTAACATTTTTTTTCAACACCCATTTTAATGCTGATGTAAACTAGTGTAATCTAACAGTTAAAAATGAAAAGTAATAGAATGTAAATGCAAATATGACATGTGGCCTAAACAAGCTACAGAATTATTTAGTCTATAGCCTACAAGTACTTTATTCCCTTAGATTAATCCATTTATCCTAACTCATTTTTGATATTCTTTGAGTCACTCTTAAAAATTTCTCAACTTTAGGTCCAAGGTATTTAATGGCGACGATAGTACTGTACTAAGTTATTATTTTATCCCAAACTGTTATCTGAAATGTTAAGATTAGCTATTAACCCAATCTTTTTTCTTAAGCATAATGTTAACATTTTTTTTATTTTCCAGGGGCCGGATAACCAGAATCTTTATTATCCAGGACCCTGCTTGCCAGCACTTTTATTATCCAGTCGAACTGCTGTTTCCTATCGACTGTACTCTTATCTTTTTGGATCATTTAATATTAGCAATATTTGTTAACTAGTCTCTAATACGTATTTTAATGTATGGGAAATTGTATGCAGTGTTCTCAACAATCAAGATTCTGGTTATTTTTACACTAGATGGGATTCTGCTTACTGTAGCATACAGTGGATTACTGAGTTCCCTTTTAATGACACAACCAATATTTTACTTGGCTCATTAATGGATTTTCACAGGACAATGACACTGAAACTACTGAGTCTTAATCATTTCAACTCTCCTTTGATTGTTGACTTTTCAAGTCCTAAATAATGTCCTATTTTTTATTAGTAGGATTTGTGATGAATTAGTCACCAAAAATTGTCACAGTACCTCGAGTGTTGAGCAATAGAATTATTCAACGTCAGGTTAATAATGTAATGCACTTAACGGTTTTCTATGGTGCAAACTAGTGAAAAAAAATTGTTTTTAATGTTGGTGTTTATAACTCCTTGGTACAATAAGAAAAAGATGCTGTAGCTTGAACAGTGATCATAATGTACATAGCATAGACGGTGGTTGTGGCTTGGACAGTGGTGATTGTTCAGACTGTGGTGGTGATGTACATAGTTTGGATGGTGGTAACAGTTCAGATAGCAGTATAGTTTGAATAATGGGATAGCTTTATTAGTGGGATAATTTGAACAGTGGAATAGTCTTGACTGTGGAACAATTTGGACAGTGGGACAATTCAAACAGTGGGTCAGTTCATAAAGTGGGGAAAGTTTGAGGAGTGGGAGTTCTAACAGTTAATGTCCAGAAAATACTAAAAGACTTGCATTCTCAACATTCAGTATGATTCTGTGCTGTTGTGATAACATAATTGCTCATCATTATCATCAGAGGCTGTTCACAGGGTTTAATGTCTATATTTTATTATTTTATTATCACACTGGCCGATTCCCACCAAGGCAGGGTGGCCCGAAAAAGAAAAACTTTCACCATCATTCACTCCATCACTGTCTTGCCAGAAGGGTGCTTTACACTACAGTTTTTAAACTGCAACATTAATGTCTATATATGGTTTTATTTAATATTATAATCTCTCTCTATTTTTTTTCTAAGATCTAATACTGTTTATAAGACAGATACATCGAACAAAATTATTATAGTGCAACATCAATTAATTACAAATTTATCTATAACGTTTATTTTTTACAAATTTCAAAATGTAGTTTCTACGATTGAAAATAGGCATGAGGGATGCTTTGGAGACTTATATAAGACAAAAATAGCAATGTAAAAGTGAAGGAGCCTTTAACACTACATAAAAACTTGGCAAAGCCCAAACGACTATTAACATATTTCTGGTCTAAGTAATAGTGGCATGAAATTGACCAGTTACCGTATTTTGAAAATTTCCTATTCCAAAATCTATTATGGAATGTTAAATGTCATTGATAATTCTGTCAAAATAAGTACCCAATAGAGTCTGCCTGTAAATTAGTACACAGTATTTTTTATGAAAAGTGTCCAATATATCATCTCTCTTCCCTATTCAATCATAGCCCTATTACCTGAAGTAATTAGTGATCATAATTCGAATAGTATTTCATTTGTATCATTATATGTTGCACAGAACATGCGAACATGAATTACAGTAAAATCTTGCGTTTTGTGCTCCCATAATTTGCTTTTTTAATAAATCACCGTTGAAATTTTTTATCAAAGTCTGTTTTGTGGGTAAAAATTACAAGACAAACATGCCATAATATTTTGGAAAATAAGAATATGTTCTCTTTTATGGGCAAAATCTAGTGTGATCAAGCAGGGGTGATGCCATTGTTTTAGAGAGACGTAATTTTACTCCTTGGTGTAAACGCAACTCACGCTTACTCTCTATCATTTGTGTATTTTAAATTTTTTCATCACCCTATCTTGTCTCTGGATTTTAGTCATGGCACCCAGGATGAATACTAGTGATGCTGGAAGTGCCAAGATGAAGAATGCACATGAAACTGTGTGTTTAGAAAAAAATGAGTTGCTAGATGAACTGGTACATGTATGCTGGAGACAGCAGAGATGTTACAGAAAACCTGAGCACTCCATTACAATTATCGACCAAAACAGGGACTACTTTGCATCGACATGCAGTTAAGAACCACAACCAGCCACACCAACACAAGTACCACAGCCACAGTAACCCTCTCCACACACCTTTTATAGCTATATGTATTTTATTACTCTATAAACCTGACTAAGCCCAGTAAGACCACTTTAATCCTCTCCACACATTTCCAGATCAATCAGCAATGACAACTATAATGTAAGGTTCTGTATTAAAAACTTTATTTTTGATGAATTTTAG